CTTATCTAGAACTTAATTTTAGTGATTTTTAGTTGACTGTGTATGTACTCTATAAAACAGTTGAAAATGACCTTTTTTGTATTCTTCTCTACTTTCACTCATTTTTGAAAGGAATTTAATACTCTATAGAGTGTTGTATTCATAAAATGCTAGACTACAAGTACCAATTTACAGAGTGTAATATTATTGTGTTTTGGGGAAGTTATATATATTTTTTCACCTGTGCAATACTTTTGTCATATACTGTACATTCCAAAAAAAAAATTATCAAAGACTGTATATCGAATACTAGAATTTTAAAAAGGGTACATTAAACACACAACAAAGAAGAATCAGATCAAACGACCGCGAGCATTGTTCTGAGGGATAGTGTGAGGGTGATAAAGGAGTTCCGGTTATTAGAGGCAACGACATAACCTTTTGGAAGTGTGTCAAAGAAAACGCTCACGTGACGTAAATTAACATGTTAGGCAGGACGCCTTCCTTCTTACATTTGACATTCAATTCCTATTGCTTCCATTCAAAAAAAATGTTTCCAACGTTCAGCTCAACCACCATCTCGCAAAGAGGCCAGATAACCTGCCATGCTTGTATCGTCCACTTTGTGTCCCTCACATCGCTCCCCCGTGCATTTATTCGTTGTGCATTACGACGAAGACCGTGTCTTGGTGCCCGTAGATCTATACGCGAAATACGCAGACTTGCAGGATTACGTTGCGAGGGAATGGAATCTCGAAAGGGCGAACATTGAATTCGAAACGGATGAGCTGAATATCTGCGCGGGGAAAAAAATACGGATCCATGAGGAAGCTTGGATTGGGATCAAGGACATCGTAGGGAATGTATATGTTCGCGTCCTATATCCGAATCAACCCAGTGTTAGATCGGAAGGGCAACGAGATAGTGAGAGAACATTGATTTCGTGCATTCTTTTGCATACTTATTGACTTGAATCTTTCGCACAGCACTTGCACATAATGTGAAACACGTACCGAAGCGTGAAGTACTTGAAACGATCAGAGCGTCGTCAGAGACTGCACATGAAGCAGAAGTAGAAAAACAGACGAGCACGGAAACTCTCGAGAGCGAATACGTCGATGTTGCTCCGCCAGACGAAAATCATGGCCAGGATAGCGAAGTGAATGGTCATGAACACGAACCATCAAGTGACCCTACAGGAAGTCCGAAGCCACTGGGAGGTGAGCTAATGCAAGTCGCAATATTTTAGAGGGATTTGGAACTCAACGCCGATGCAGAAGAGGAGGGTAAAGAATCTCTGAAGGACAAGGAGAAAGGTATGAAACCCACTGTGGGTAGTACCAGTCCTATTTCTGTCGTCTGAACTAGCCTTCCTTACTTTTGTGATGTAGAAAAGGAACACTCTCCCGGACGTAGCTCAACCTGGGGACAACTTCTAGATTCAGGCAGAGCAGCACCTGAGAACCCACCTAACAATGTGACTACTACCAGCACTGGCTCAACTTTTTGTACCTGCACCAGCACTCGTTGCTCTGCTAGAGAAGCCAAGATAGGGAGTCGGTTACACCATAAGCCCTCACCCAGAAAAGCTGCGTCAGGAGATCCAGAACATATTCTCATCAAAGTCACGCCTCCACCCAACAGCATCTACAACCCTCGTTGGTTCAGAGTCCGTCGCGAAGACTCTGTACGCAGTGTCCTCAAGGCTGCATGCAAAGCATTCAGGGTTGATCACACCAAGTATGCCACACTATCTCTACCTTTCTAAAAAAAGAAGTTCTGACGAGCCTGAATTTTCATAGAGTAGAACTATTGCATAATGGGGGTGATGAAGGTGATCTCTTATTTCAATGTTATAGTGACCAAACGATGGAAGATCTCAACGTACAGGATAATCATGAATTTGTCGTTGAAAGGGTCAATTAAGAGGAAGAAGAGGAAGAAGAGGAAGACGAGAGCGACTCCTGTCGCGAATCAGTGTGCTTTAGCTCCTCGTGCTATGACTTTCTTCTTGCTAGGCATTTTGCATGTTTCTTCAACACATTACTTGCCTCTGGATTCTCCACCCCTGTTCTTGATAAACCTACAGCAGATATGTATTTGCAAGGGTTTTTGTGTATAGAAATTGATTGGTACCAGACGAAACGTATGAATGAACAAAGTCCTTACGAATTCGTAGAAGGTTCAATGCAGAACCCTCTCATCAGCTGAACTATCAATACGTTCAGTCAAGGCAAAACCGTAATTAATTAGTAAAAATAAGCGGCAGAGAAATTAAACAAGTTATTTGTAACTTGAACCAGTATATTGAACACCAGATAAAAAGGAGGTACCCTTAGAGTGCAACAAAAAATCATATGATATAGAAAGCCAATCTTGTATATATTACCAGACAAGATATATTGATATACCAAACATTGGAACAAAAAAAAACAACATCGCTGGATATCATAACGTTACTGTACCACTTGCCTACTTAAAAAGGCATCCACACAAACACTTCAAAATAAAGTGAAGTGAAGAAGCGAAGATGAATGAATAGAGATGAAGGAGAGAAATGAGTAATGTCATAAAAACATTAACATAAAAGATATATTGAAGACAGAAGCCAAAAGAAAGGAAGAAAAGCAAGACAATGGGAAAATCGGGAAACTGGATACACAAAAACGACTAACATGCATGAATAGAGTCCGACTTGACATCTCACGTCTGTCATCAATCATATAAACACGAGAAAAATCAAAACAAAACAAAACAACTCCTCGGTAATCTGGAATTAGAGAGAGCAGGGAGGGAATAGGAAGGCGGAGGACAACTTCAGGTAAATGAGGGTTAAGAGGAGGGTTAAATGTGAAAGTCGTCACATCACATCAAATCAGAACAAGCAAACAAAGTTACTCGGGAAGACCGTCCGACCCGGTACACGTCGCGAGTCATCCAACAGTTCTCCGGTCCACCACCCATCCTCCGGGGTCGACGTAACAGCAATAACATCTCCAGCAGTAAAATCAAACTCTTCGTCAATCGTAGCTTGGTAGTCGTACAGCGCTTTAACTATCCAAAATAAATATAAAATATGAAGTCAGAGTTTGAGTTAGTTAGATAGGGAAGTCGGGTGGAATGAATGGGATGTATGCGCACCGTAAAACAGAATTGGCCTTCCGTTGATGAATTGTCCCGTCGGGGCAGCCATACCAGGTGGAGGCTGAGGACTCGGACTCCTCCTTACATGCTGATCAAAATACCCAGTATTCTGATACCCCAACCCATTCGAATGTGCAGGAGCAGGTGGCGGATGCATGTTCATTGACGGTCCACGATGGAGGTTCGCACCGTTAGGCGCATACGAGTTCATCGGCTGTTGCCCCTGTTGTTGTTGAGGTGGAGGCGGGATGTACTGCGGTTGCTGTTGTTGCTGAGGTGGTGGCGGCTGTTGATGTTGAGGTATCTGCTGCTGCTGTTGTTGTTGTTGATGATACCATAAAGATGGTTGGCGCTGCACGCCAGGACTGAGACCTTGGGCACTTGGTGGTGGTGGAGCAGGTTGTCCATAAGGAAGTTGTTGCGGGATATATTGTCCATGTGGGGGAGGAGGTCCACCATATGGAGGTTGTTGCTGAGGCGGGGGCGGGCCGACAGGAGAAGCTACATGCATACTCTGGTTCCGCTGAAGAGGTCCGTATTGACCGCGAGGAGCAGGCGGCTGAGGAGGTAGTGCTTGTTGTTGTGCCGGTGGAGGAGGTTGACGATACTGCTCCGCCATTCGATCATGTGTAACCTGTCCCGAAGCATCTAGCGAAATTCCCAAGTCTGCTCCTGGTCCCGAAACAGGACTCGGAAGTCGATAATTATTTTGACTTCCATTGACATATGCACTTCCCGACGGACCAGGCGCAGGACCAGGACTCGGCGAACGTCCACCGGATCCAATCCCAGCGAACCCTTCGCGACTCTTCGGACGCTCGAGACTTGGCCGTTGATTATTAATGTTCTGTCCGAGACTCTGACTATGACCATGCGACGGTCCAACGATTCCAGGACTATTCCCACGGCTAATTGGGGTCCTACGTTCACCAGGAAGCGCCGGCGCATATGAAGAAACGACATCTTCGACTGGTAATGAGGATGTTGATACTTGCGCGGGCGGTATCATATGCGCCGCAGTGGGCGGTCCGGCCGGCGATGTCGGGCGAGAACCAGGAGGTGGACCACCTACAACCATCTCGGCGGAATTCCGGTAGTCGCGATTCGCCGGTTGCGCAGTCTTTGGTACAGGAGCAGCAAGTGCAGAACCTGCAGAACCACCCGGAGCAGGACCTGACGCTCCTGCACTTGGCGCGGGCGAAACGCTCTGTTGAGCGGATGAAGGACGTTGAGCATTCACACTGTTGCGACGAATAGACCCAGTCGCAGCAGCGCTGTTGCGTAGTTCGGCCATTTGTTTCAGAAGCGGATCGTCACCTCCACCAACGCGAGAACTTGTAGGCCCTGTACCGGAACTCGGTCCAGTAGAATTGACCACGTTCTGAGGATCTTGATCCGGATAGACTTCGTACACACCGCCTCCCACGGCAAGCATCGTTTTTTGAGTGGATGGGTCAGAAGCGGAAGATGGGCCTGCTTGTGACTGGGAGCGAGTGTGAGCACTTGTAAGAACGGTAGATGGAGTTGTCGGTGCGCTCGTTCCTGTTCCATTGACAGGGCTGGACGACGCGATTGAACGGCTCTGAGTTGCCGTCGTGTTGGATCGTTCAAGATCGCCATTTCTGCCAGTACCACTGCCGCCTGCGCCAAATCCAGCCATTCCGGCGTCCGTCGGCTCCTGGTCTTGGGGCATCGCGCGCAGTACCTCACCCATTGATAGATGTCTGTTCGAGACACGGGGATAACTTGCGTAGCGCGGAGCTTGGCGGGAAGAAGCTACGATAGCAGCATCCGGGTCCGAATAGCTGATGAACTTTGGTGGATCGGGGACTTCATTGCCAGTTCCGTAGTCTCTGACGAAGTTTTCCATGTCACGATCTGGTTCGAGTTGTTCAAGAGAGAGTCGAATCTTCTCGCATGACTAGAAGATAGTGACATCAGATTGATCGAAGAAGAAATTCTTAGATATTACTCATACCTCATCGTCCGACACGCAGACCGTCGAGACGGCATTAGCATAAGCCCAAACATTATCCTTCATAAACTCTATTCGCTCCTCTTCGAGATCCTGACATGCGTCACAAAATGCTTTCCAGTCTCTTTCCCACTTCTCTACCGTACCCTGTAACGCTCTCGCAAAGTTTGCAAAATCTTTTTCATTAGCGGTTACGGTTTGCCGTGCCCGATCGAGCTTGAGTTGAATCTTCTCAAGATCCTTACCCTGTACAAGGGTAGACTGTGCCATGTAAGAGTTGATACGCATGCAATCTGCTTCATACTTCTCGCGTGCCTTCGTCACGTATGATTCCTGAGTCTGTTTATTTTTAAAGGCCTTCTCGATGACGGACTGTGCGCCGCGCTTGAACTGGGCTTGTCGGGCGGTGAACGCACCCGCTGGGGACTCCAGCTCAGTATGTACCTGGTGCGCGAGTTGCGCATGTGCAGTAGCTTGTTTATCCGTCTCTAATCTCAATGTATCCAATGAGTTTTTGAGCTCCCTGTGCGCTCGCGTCAGCACGATCACTCAGTTGATACAGGCAGGCAACTGGCCGCCCGAAAACAACGCACCCAATCTCATCCCGCCCGAGCGGTTGCTTTGCAAGTTTCGACAAGCGTTTCGCATACTCCTCCTCTATCGCTGCTCGTTCCTTCCAAAAAGCACGGAGTTCGTCGATGGTTCGTGCCGCACCGCGCATGCGAGCGAAGAGAACGTCAACACCGCCATCAGCAGCACCCCAGAACGCGTTGCAGAAGTCAAGCGAGCGGTTCGAGAGGTCAGGGGAGTTTACACGGGCATATTTTGATAGGGAGGTTGTCGACGACTGGCGTCGTGCAGCCATTGTTTGGATGATGTTGAAAGAGTGACCGGGCGTCTGCAACGAAGTAGCGCTCCTGGCCGATTTACCGTCTGGCTGCTGCGTTCTCCATTTGGAACAATCATCTCACGCGTGCAAAAGGCTGTTGCGCCGATGCTCTCGCCATCCATGAACAAATTATCATTCGATGTAGCGACTCGAATGCGGTGCCTGGCGCCAGTATCGCATCGCTGGCACCGTGATCGAGGGCAGCCAAGCATCTTTGCCGACGGTAATTGGTACCGCAGACCAAGCCTTTGGGTATAGGAATTTTCTTTCTCTACATATAATTTGCATGTACCATGGACTAATTCTTTACGGTATTCAAACCTGTGAATGCACTGGCACAGCTACGATAGTGTTTATGGCCTTTTAATTCAATTTCCGGAAGGATACCGAGAGACAGGAATTTCTCCCGGCTCGGTACTTGTTCAAAGGGTCCACTGATCGTTCTCAGTTCAAGACCCCTCGGGAAAACATCATATTTGTTGCAAATTTACACTGATATCCATCCACCATTACTCATTCAAACTGAAAATTCAAACAAGGATGAAATTTCTCTTCAGTAATTTATTCTGTACCGAGTCTTGTGCTCATTGATGATTAACTACAAACTTAACTGTACTTCTGAACCCCCTCCCCCGGTACTGGGTGGGTGACAAGTTCCAGCAGGTCCACAAGTAGAAGATAGTGTGATGCATCCTTATTTTATTCTTTAATATTGCATGTACAGCATGGGCACTGGGCAGGAAGTACCAATAATATAACTATAACAGCCAACTAATAAGAGGCTGGTTAAAGAGGTTTTTTTTTAAATCCTGAATCTTTGAGTACTTTCAGTAGCAGTCTTGTATCCCAAACCGTGACCTTACCATTGCCCATGCCTGACACAATGCATTACCCGTCATATGAGAAGGCAATGGAATCAAAGCTTCTGCATGATCCTTCTAAAGGCCAATTACAATATTAATATTCCCACTCTCCATGTTGCACACATAATAATTGTCCCTGCTCTGTGAGGCAATGCATTTCCCATTAGAGAAAAGGCAAGAGCTGCACCAATGTAAATAGCTTTCTCAGCCTTGAAAGGACCAGAAACAATTTCACCAATTTCAGTGTTCCAAAGAATGACATTGTTTTCTGACCATAGTTATGCTCAAGTAAAAAAACCATCCTATTGAACTTCTGAACCCTGGATTAATTATGGAATAAATTGAACAGGGTCCCTCATCAGGAAAATATCTCAAACTTTGTATTAGCTTATATGTATATAAATTATATATATTTTCTACATTTTGTAAAAGAGCTTATTGTGTACCTAAGGGTTTTGGAAAGATAATAAGAAGCTAAGAAAGTTATTAAAAAGTCTTGACTATCTGGTCAAGAATGATAAGAATTGTAGTACTTACTAAGATATACAAGTGCTTAAAGTGTACCTTACAAAATAGCTAAGTATTATAATACTTGTCATTTTAACAAGGAAAACATATGTATATAAAATGTATAAGACAAGTTTTTACTTATATCTGTTTATTATTAAAATGACAGTTTATTATTACATTGAAATATTGTATAAATACATTATTATCTACAACAATTAGGGAAATAATCTGACAACAGATAGTGAGTGTGTTGACAATAGAGAATGAATGTGTTTCTCAGCCATTTGAAATAGTCTTTGTTACTATGCTTTGGTCAACACTCAGTCCCTGCAAGTTGAATTGTGTGTAGATTGTAAGATTGTATAGATTGTAGAGGTCAAGGTTGTACTTGTAAGGTGAGTTTGGAGGTTAACTTGCTAAGAGGGTAAGAGGTTGTTAGCAAGTGTGAGTACTTAAAGTAAAGAGATAGATACACTGTAACAGTGTACAGTAAGTGTAAGTAGTGTACTAGGGTTGAGATCCAGAGTATTAAACAATCTGATTTGTAAATGACTACAAAAGTGTATCTCTAGAATGTTCTGGATTGAAGAGTGAGGGTAAAGTGGAAGATGTGGACAGATTCAACTCATCTTGGATAGGTGTGAGTAATAGACCACTACTTCTGTTCAATATAGTGTCATACTTAGTACAGAGGAATGTAAATACATACAGTGTAGGCCTACTAAGAATAATATCAAGCATTGTACAGGTAGGGAAGGAGAGCACATACTGAGTAAGAGAAGGGGTAGTATGATAGGAGTAAATATATATAGACATTGTTACAAGTGTGTACTCATTAATTGTTGCTTACACTATAGAGTAGGAAGAAGTATATAAGTGTATAGGATTTTTGAAGAATTTGCTCAGTATTAGTTAACAATACAGATGTAAGAATGTGAATACAAAAGGGAAGGTAGTGTAGAAAGGAGGACAATAAAGGAGAGGTAACACAATTGGTAGAATAAGAAGTAGAAGGGATGGAAGGGAGACAAAAAGTTGGGAGGAGAGGAATAAGTAACTATTGTACAGGTTATTATAAAGTGAACTGGTTGCTTACATTTAACATTATTGAGACTAAGAGGGTACAGTGTAATTAGCTGTATAGAATCTAGAACTCAGTGTAGACATTATAACAGTTAATTAGAGAGACAAGTACAGTAATGTTTATTATTAATGTTGTTAAAGGTAGAGTAGTAGCTAGTAGAATGTATGTAAGAGGAGAAAGACTAGAGACTTAGAGAGAACAAAAGTAACAATATAGTAGTATAGTAGAGAGTTAGACTTAGAGAGGTGGTAGAGGTTGAAGAGAAAGGGTAGTATGTATAAGTGTGTTATTATATACTCTCAATCTTTAGCTGTTAATTATATAAGCAAGTTAGGTATTAGTTGTCTAAGATAATCTAAGTATAATGTACATATTATATACTTATAGTATACTTTTAATAAGATAATTGGAACAGTACTAGGGAAGTACTAAACACTGTTACAAATGAGTTCTGAGTTTGTAGTAACACACAAAGGCTGACAGGACAAAAGTATCTTTGTTACAGTCAGAAATACAAACTGTACATGTACTAACAAAGGACTCACCTTTGTTATAGTCAGAAATACAAACTGATACAACAAAGGTAAAGAATACTAACTATATATACTAAGGAAATGGTCCATACTCAAAGGGGAAAATAAAAGGGGAACAAAAGAGGAGAACATGATACATACTTAAAGAGGAAGACAAAAGGGGATAGTATGTATCTAGGAATGTAAAGAAGGTGGTTATAATAAAAGGGGGACTTAATGTAAGTATGTAGGAAAAGTGTGTAGCTTAGTAAGCTACTATAAGAATCCATATACAGAATCTGTAGTTCTGTACTATAGAACTGTGTAGAAACTGTTATAAGTTGTTAAGCAGGCTTACACTCCTCCCTCCTCTAAAAAAATAGTACTCTTATAGGGATACAAAGCTAACTAGGCCTGTAGAACTTTAGAGGCTAACCTCTAAAGCTCTGACTGTACTTTCTATTCTTATTCCTATTCACCCTATCCTACTTATTCTACCAAATACTACTAACCTTAGCCTTTGTACCTTGTATCTACAATACACAATACCTTGTAAATCTCCTCCTCTCCTTCTACCAGACCTAGTCAATTAAGAGTACATTGTAGAAAGAGTATATTATTATTTAGGATATAACACTTGAGTTAGTTTGTATAGAATCCTAGGAAAGTCTGATTAGAGTTAGATAGCTTTAGAGTGTATTCTAACTTGTTTAGGTTTACTATAATAATAAAATACAGTCTATTATAGTAAGGTATGAATTTTACAGTGTGTTCTAACATTTGTACAAGGTAGTTCTAGTAGTAATTGTAAGTAGAGAGTATAACTTAGTCTCTTACTATAAAACAATCTTCTACAGTACAGTCTTGATTTGTATAATGTGTCTAGCAGGTTTTAGCTACTAGAAGAGTGTCTTGTGCCTCTATAACATTCTAATGTATGTAGGCTAGGAATTCTGATACTCATACTTTTAGAGAATCTACTTACAACTGTTCTAGTTGTGTAAATGGTAGAACTGTCTATAGTGAGCATCTATAATATAGTTAGAATAATGAATATCCTATAGAAGTGTTTACCATATTTATAATACAGAACCAGACTTATAAGAGCTGAGCCTACTAACCCTACTGTTAGTAATTAATATAGAAGTATAATAACTAACTTACTATCTTATTAGTATACTCACTTGCTCTATCTGTCTCTAAATAGTATACTGTTAACATCTTCAGCTTTATACCTGTCCTTATATGTAATACAGTCCAAAATCTAGACAGGAACAGACAGTCCTAGTTAGAAATGATTTCCTAAGGTAAGCTGTTTTTGTAATACTATTTGTTAAAGAACAGTTCTACAAATTCTTCTACTATCATGTTTATTCTATACAGTTCAATTCTAATGTCTGTACTACCTAGTTAATTCATCATTATTACTATTCTATTGTATCTACTGTCTTCTAGTAGTAGTCTAACAAAGTCAATTATAATACTCTCAAAACATACATTCAGAACTAGTAACAAATGTAGTAGACTAGTAGGTTTTATTGTTAGGTTCTTATTGTGTTAGTATGTATTATAGTCTAGAATATAGTTCTGTTCAAGATCCTAGCACATGTTAGGCTAATAGAATAAGTTGTACAAGGACAGATAAGTCTTATCTGTACTAAAATGTTCTAGTTTATTATGTGTAAGGTGGTACAAGGTTTTGTACATGTTTCTAGAGCTTAGAATTACTAACCAGTTGTCTAAGTACAGTAGTCCTTAATCCTTACAAGCTCCTACAATACTTCCAAGATTGTATCAAAACTTGTAACAGAACTCATCTGTGTTGCCTATACTAGGTTATTATTTTCCAGACTAATATTAAAGTCTGAGTGACAGGAGAGTGTATTAGTAACTGTGTTCTCTTCTCCTTTAATGTAATACAGCTTATAGTTATACTAGGAAAGGTCCTCTATCTACTAGGCTTGTCTCTAGAACAGATTATACTGTGTATCTAAGTATTTAAGAGTATAGTAATCTGTGTAAACATAGAAATG